TAATATCTTTTATTGTTTAAATATATTTTATATATTTATAACCATTAACCCCTTTTTAGGACTTTAGTTGAATCGTTGTAACAATAATTATATTTTTAAACAAATATACATAGATAATTAGTTGTTTTTTCATAAAACTATTTACATATTGATGGTGTACCTTCCACAAAATTGGGTTTTAAACAGATTCCCTAAAGGAAGGATTCCTTTCTTCTTTAGACCTTAACAGGTTTGCAATTGAAACCAAATTGTTTAGTAAATATTATCATAATGTATTATAAATGAAAATGAATTGGGTTTTTTTTATTTGAATAAAGGAAAATTCTAAATTATTTAAAAACGAACCGTCTTGACACGCTTTCTAGATACGCCCATATCCCTGTAGTTAACATAACCATATCTGTTGAGAAAATTACATATCTGTTGCATAAGATTGTAAAATTTTTGTTTGATTCAATTTATATCCGAACATAGTTCCGTGCCAATCACTTACTTAACACATCTGCACTCGTCACTTCCTAATGTATGTCAAAACAGTAGCTCGGTACTGAAGTCATATATCTCGTTAATTCATTAGAACTATTGTACCGAAAATTCAAGTGTATTCGGAGGATTATACAGAGGATTCCCATTTCTGAAATATTTCTTTAAGACCTATTGAGTAATGAAGTTATTGATTTTATTATTAATTAGAATATGAGTTACCACCAGTTCACAAAACATTAAAATTTGATTTTTGACTAGTCTATAATGTATAGATTACTTGGTAAAAATAATTTAAAAATCACAGCAGGAAATCTGAAAGGTCACTATAGGTTAAACTATCACCTTATGGAATTGAGAACTAGTAGGGAAGAGAATAATATCTCAAAGAATATATATATGCGCTAGGAGATTACCCAAACTGATAAGTATGCAGTTTAAAAAAGATAATCCATCATTATTATTAAAATATTTTATGTAATACCGTCAAGTTTACGATAGCTTTTATGGTAGTGGTTAGACATGTTTCTATAAGCCCGAAAGATGTACCCAAAAATCCTATCAAAATAAATAAAAATCTTTTATAATAAATATAAAAAAATAAATAAAAAAGGAGGTCTCTAAACAAAAATCCAGTTTTAGAGATCTTGCGTTATATGAACGTTTGCATGTAGACTAGACCTTTCTCATCACTACTACCGATGACGTTTAAGTTTGATGACATATATTGTCGTTTTAATTTTTAAGTTTAGAAATTTCTAATGTTGTGTTTATACGTCTTCAGTTGGTATAAAATACTTAACATTTTTAACCATTTTTACGAAAAACTGTCGTACTTAAAATGCTAAGCTTATTGTTGGTGCCCTGATTGTTTCTTTTCACTTGACCTATTTGATAAAATCAATTTGTTATACAATCATCTGATGTTTAAGAATATTAACGTATAATTTTTTCTTTAAAGGTCGATTTGTGGTCACTCGGTATCATGGCTATTGAAATGGTTGAAGGAGAGCCACCTTATCTCAACGAAAATCCACTTAAAGCATTGTACCTTATTGCCACAAATGGCAAGCCTGAAATTAAGGAAAAAGAAAAACTTTCCATTGTATTTCAAGATTTTTTAAATCAATGCTTGGAAGTTGATGTTGAACGTCGTTCCGGTGCTGCGGAGTTACTGAAGGTATTTTTTAAATAATTATATAGAAAATATATATGAGGTCTCATACATTTTCTGTTATTTTTAGCATCCTTTTCTTAAACTAGCACGTCCATTAGCCAGTCTGACGCCGCTAATTATGGCCGCAAAAGAAGCCACTAAAGGAAACTGATTAAAAACATAAAATAAGGATATAAAACTACTTAAAAGCTGATATGGAAGATAATAAACAACTTTATACACATAATTATATATAAAAACATATATACGTTTACAAATATTTATATATATAAATAAAAGAGTATATATATGAACGAAATATATATTGCAGAAAAAAATAAGAATTTAAATTAAAAATTCCTAACTGAACTGTTAGGAATGAAAAATTCGCAACATACAAAACGAAAAGAAATAAGTTATTTTCGCTAAATTTAAATTATAATTAATTAATTAATTTTGTTTTCAACAAAAACTTAATTTTCTATAAACCAAACAAGCAATTTTAATTGCTTGATTTAAAAGTAAAATAAGCACACTATAAAAAATGCTTTTTTATCCAAACTTAAGTTTACCAAAACTAATTATAAAAATCAAATTTATATAATAAAATAGCATTTTAAATGCTTCAATGAATAATGCAAAAATTAAGTTGAAAATAAAATATTTTATATACGTATTAACAAAATATTTAACTATGTTTAATATAATTTAAAAATATTATTTCAAATTCTTATGCTTTAAATTTTAAAAAATAAATGACCTTAAAGTAATTTGAAAGCTTAAAGATATTTGCTTTACACATAATAGCGTACTGGAGAATATATTTAATATTGTCTTATTTATTATAATTTTTTTATTTGCTAACTTTAGTATTATAAATTAATAAAAAATATATTTAAAAAATTAAAGTAAATTTCGTTTTGATTTATTTTTTTAACGTAACAGAAATAACTATATATAGCTTTTATATCATTTTTTAGTTTATTTCACACATTAAACCTATAATTCATTTTCACTTTATAAAGTGTTTATTTTATGTTCATTATATTAGTTCAAATAGTTATTTGGGTTAATTTCAAATATTGTTGTTCAAACTATGAGAAATAAGTAAACTAATGATTCGTTTAAACATAGAAAATAAATATAGCCGAAAATATGATTTAAAATTAAAAAAAAATATCAACATACAATACAATATTACAATATAATGCAAACACAAAAATAGTTAATAACTAACATTAGATATAATTAAATAGTGATATATGTAGTTTAGTTGTAAAGTATTTTTCCAATTAAATTAAATAATGTATACAAAATTTCAAAATTGTAAAAATAGAAATAAACAATTTAAATTAGCCAAGTTACTTTAATTTCATTTACTTTATACTTATAATGTTACGAATAATTGAAATGTATTGTAATTAAACTCGTAAAATGTTTTGATCGATATGCGGGCGTAAGATAAATAATAAATTAATAAATTTTATATATTATATATTATATTAACATTTCCTTCCATGTCAAGCCACCTTTTGAAACTCTTAAGCCCAAATATATGACAAATTATACATAAATATCGTTGAGAATAATTATAATTCTTATAAGAACATAACGAAAACATTTCATGATATTGAAAGTTACTTGGCTGTTCAAATATATACAAAAACAAAAAGAAAAAAAAAGAATGATATGAATAATAAAAAGGAAATCATACTTTGTGCCTAACAAAAAATATTTAGAAAATTTAAGAACAGCGTTAAACTAAAAAAATTGCAATAGTTTTAAATGAAAAATTGCAATATTTTTAATTCTGTGGAATAAAAGCAACAAAAACAAACTAATTTATTTATAATTATAATAAGAAAATATAATTTTAATTTTTTACGTTATCTTATATATCAATTTAATTTTTCATAGGGTTGTGTCCTACAACATATATATTATTATAATAAAAATAATTCGAAAAATTATTTAACATCTCTTCATGCTTTTTTTATCAATTATTTACGTTTGTTACTTTTTTTTTATTTTTTTAAATTCATTAATTAATTGTATTTCTTTTTTATATAAATAAATTCTTTATTTATATTATTATTAATGACATTTTTGCTGCCCAAACAGGAAGTTTAAACGTTGGAACCTTTAAAATATAAAAAGTATGTACTCGGACTTTCTTAATTTTTTTTATATTGAGGTGATTAAAAATTTAATTTTTTATACAAGTGAAGAAATTGTTTGTGAAACGCAAATAATATTTATTAGTTATTTTTTTTTTTGGTTTTTATTATTTCTTTTATTACTTTTAGTATAAAATTAATCAAAATAAAAATTATGTTTTCATGTATATTATTTCAAAATATTTATATAAAATCGATTGCTTCTTATACATATACAATAACTCGTATTTTTTATGGTTTATCAGTTCATATTATTAATTAATTTGAACAAAACTTAAGTAAAATAAGCACTTTTAGTTAATTTTATATTTGTAATATGCAAACACTTTCTTGGCGAATTTTTAATAGTTAATTTTTTTTATTATTCAATGCAATAATCGATAAAAAGCATTGAAACTACAGTGGGACAAAAAAAATCTGATTAATTAATTTATTTTATATCGTTTTCAATACAATTTAGTTAAACTTTTGTAATTTACATACATTTTCATTAAACTAAATAACAAAACTATTGAGGAAAAAACGAAATTATTGGAATTATATACACAATAAATGTATATAAAAGACATCAATTAGTAAGACAAAACGAAATATATACATATATATTTACCAATAGAGCATATTGTGTAATACAATACAATTATTATAATAGAAAGTATAAAATTAATTAATATTTATAAAATTATTATATTATAATAAAAAAGAAAAGGTAAATAAAAATGAAAAGAAAAATTTAAAAAATTTTTTTTTGGTGTTGAAAGACGTAATACCTTATACTTAAGCCCAACAAAATATATCTACATATGCTTCAGATTTGTTTGAAATTCAGAATGTGTCATTAATCAATATTTCTCCTAATTCGGTCATTAATCTGCATAGGTATTATTACTATATAATTTCTATATAATGGAGCAGAATATATGCCTATTATATAGGAATAACTTTTAAGGTCACCATTTAAAAAAAAAATCTTTTTAAATCGAATTTTTAGTTTCAAGTCGCTGTAGCGATCTGTACGAGCGGAATATAAGCTATAACATTTTATTTAGGGCTGCCAAGCATACACAAAAATTAATCGAATAAATAATTCACTTAAATTTTTTCCAAACGCATTATATATTCTGACATTCTTAACATTTAATATATTTTAACATTTTAAAAAAATTTTAAACAAACTCTATAAAATATATCAAAATTGTCAATTTTAATAGTCGATATCTCAGTAATCTTGCAAATAAGCAAAAAACTATTAATGAATTAGGACATTTTCACAATTACATAGAATTTATAATGTTAATTTTTTCTCGACGAGAGTGACGCGTCTTTATGACGAAAAGAAATTAAAAGTTAGACGGATTGGCTTAGAACTCGTTCCTGTCACATTAGAAGCGATGACTAATCATGTTTTTCCACAAGTAGACAAAACTGCACAATGGTCAAGTTCTATGTTAGGTGTTTTGTCACATTTTACTTTTTAAGTAACACTAACCAAAGCAATTGCCGTGCTTTTGAATTAGAACGATCTTATAAGTAGAATTTATACAGTGAAATTCCCCTAACTCGAATCATCAAGGAGACGGAGAGACTTTTTACCACTCTGCTTTTAATTTCCAAGGTTTTTAATGATTTGAATATATACACATCACATTTTTATTTAAAATATTCGATTATATGTATTGGTTTTCTGTTTTCTTGTTCTTTTTCTATATAATTTGCCAAATTATTTAATTGAAATATATCATCCAGTGTGTTTGCTTGGAATGGATAAATATTCAAATTGTCTTGATCGCATGTTTATTTGCGACAATTATATCTGGAAACTGTTTTATGTTTTCTTTAATAATACTACCCAACAGAGGTAGATTTTTTGATCTTGCAGTAATCATCCATTGTAACATAGCTTCATCCACATCATCATATTTACATATTCTAGGGGAATTTTATTTTATATATATATATATTATTCAACAATAAAAGTAAATATAAATGTTCGAAATATATTGTATTACATGGAACTTTCAATCAATCAGAATAAATAATTTTTTGTCCCACACAAATTAGATCAGTTTTCCATGCATGTTAAGACCACAGCCCATTGTAATTCTAAACCAATTACTAGTCATTCAGTGCTGATATTTCTTTTAGCAGATATATTCAATAAATTCCAAACAAATGCGTCCGAAGTAATGTTTCGTAATGAAAAGGGCACCTATATGACTCCCCCCAAATGTGATGTAACAATGACGAAAAAATGACAGGCTTGGAATGCAATAAGTTGAATTGAGTTTCAATG